GGGGGGACTGGAGAGGGGGAGGGAGGGGGACAGGAGAGCAGGGAGGTAGGTTGATCAGGGCCTGGGGAGGGAGGGAGGACAGGAAAGGGGGAGGGATGGGGAGAGGGGAGGGGGGATGGAGAGGGAGGGGGCTTCGTCCCCTCAGGGATCATGACAGGTGACCAAGGGCACCACGTTTGTACCCTGGAGATGTTGTCAAGGCCTGTGTGGGCGTTCACTCTCTGAAGCCAAGTGGCCACAAGTCTTTATTTTATGTGTCTGTTAGGGTGGCCCCCAGCTGTCATGTTGTCACTTTGTGACACGGATATGCCCTATTTAGCCAGCTGGAATCTGGCAGAGGCAGGACCGAAACTTACATGTCCCCGTGTGGAGTCAGGGTTGACCCTGTCATTGTCACCTTTGTCACCTCCTGGTCCAACAAAAGAAAGGAGTATACTGCAAAGCTTGTTGTTTAACCGAGACGACCCTTGTGCAATATCTCTGCTATGAAAAGTTACCCATTTGTTTAAATAGCGTGTTTGAACTCGGAAAGTTTAAGCGATCTGTTTTTTAAGTCAGCCAACAGAATCTAATTATGGCATCCAATGGAAAAAACGGAGTGGGGAAACCTGGGAGAAGCACGACGAAGGATTCAGATATGGGAGCCAATGACAAAGAAGAGAAAAAAGATCTGAGTGGTTCTGAGCAGGTTGAGAAGGAAGGTACAGTGTCCCTAACATCTTGGCAAGTGTGGCACATAGGACACACTTTACTTTTTTTCATTTTTTTAAATTTACATTAAAATCTTATGTTGGCAAAAAGCCTATAAGCCTCCAAAATGTAGATATGATGCCATTAAAAATTACCAGTATAGCATACTTAATTTAAAAATGTTTTTCTTTTCAATGAAGGGAAGACTCCAGTAACTGATGATAATGGAGGAAAAACGCCATCTGCCGAACCAGTTGAGGAGGAAGTGGGGTAATGTGTTCAAGCAATATTTGCCTATCTGGTCAAGTACTTTAAGAAAAGTCTACTTTGTTTCATTTAGCAAGTATTGTATGTAAAACAGTTGACATGGGCTGTTTCTTCCCAAGAAAGCGTGCCATTTTTTGTGTCCTTAATTAAAAATTGTTCATGTAATTTCCTCACAGGGACGAACTACAGGATGTATTGAAACCTCTTGGAGGTAAGTTTTAGGAGATATTGACATTTAAACAAAATTGTTGTAAGTCATATAACTTGGATAAAGGGAGTGTTAGTCGGTGGGCTACAAGACTGGTATTTAATGCCTTGTTGTCATGTATAGAATTTTGCATAGATTTTTAGTGTGATTCAGTCTTCACAGATTTCTTCACTTAACTTTTCTAATTGTGTATGTGAACACACAATACACAATTGTTTATGTGAGGTGAGAATGCTGCTTTTTTATACATGTATGAATATAATGGATAATGCAGTATTAGAAATAAATGAATGGGAAAAACCGCTATCCTTCTTTGTGTTTACACGATAAATCTTACATCAGTTTTTAATTTTCTCAGTGTGATTATTTTCTATGACTTTTCTATGTTTATTTGGGGGACACAGTGTAAACTGAAACCTCTAAAATAACCCTCTATTTTTAAATTAGTATGCTGTTTAATGGAGAACTAAAGACAGCTTTGCTAACTGGTGATGGATGTGTAATCAGATCCAAAAAGCCCTAACTTTTAACTTAGTGTGTCCTATATTAGTTAAGTTACATTAATTGTGCTAGAGGATAATAAATCTAAAAATAAGTCAGACTCAGTTTTTGGCTCTTTTATATGGATAAGTATTATAGCAAGTATTTTTGAAAGCTTTGCTGTATTTGGTGGTGAAAAAGTGCTTGTTTTGTGAGTTTTCATATAAATTATTATAGATACATACTGGAAGTATAAAATACTTCTATAATAGTGCAAGCTCTTTCATGATTACTGAAAAATAAGTACTGATGTTAGATCCATAGCATAAAATCATATGCGTAGCAAAGCATTGTCTGAAGTATCAAACAGTGTATGAAATGAAGCGCTTACAGGTAAAAATGTCATATACACAGCTCCTCAGAAGTATTTTTAGTCAAGTGTTCTTGAATGAATTTATTTATTTACTTAACGTGGAATTTTTCTAACTATGGTCATTTTCTCTTTTAGTAAAGTGTATTTAAAGCTTCACTGACTAGATTTTTTAAAATTATTTTCTTACTTGATTTAATTATTTATCCTTCCGGGACTATTAAATAGAATATTTTGTGTGTTTTATACAATAAGTTCTAACAGTATGTCATCTGCATGTGTCCTTTAAATTGGAAAATATTTACTGCTTTCTCACAGGGAAATTAAAGCCAGTCTTTGAGACCCTTTACAGATATTTTGGAAAATAGAAAGTGTTTTCTTAGCCTATTTTTTTTTTTAATTACCTGTATGTTAAAAATTTTTCTGCAATGAGAAAAATTAGAATTGGGAGACTAGTAACTGAATATTTTCACAGAAAAAAGAAAGGGAACAAATAAGCTTGCCTTTTGAAATAATGCCTAATTTTTAAATATCAAATCTTTCCAGTATTGTTGACCCAACAGTACCCATATTAATTTGAGTATGTGTACACTAAGTAGTATTCAGCATAAATTTTAATGACTATTTTCAATATAGGTGACATTACTGAGGTTCTTCTTGCAAAGAGAAGAAGATTAGAAATGAATACCAGTGCTGCTATCGACATCAGTAAGGAGAAAATTGAGAATGTTTGGAAAACACAAAAAGAGCAAAGGTAAAGTTGCTAGTTTTTTAGAGCTACAATATTTGTATCAATTCTTAGTATTCATGGGTGCAAATTACTTGAGAAAGGCACTATTATCTTCTGTTTATTGGAGTCTCTAGTGAAATATATTTGGCTTGATTTTTCTCTAAGCTAATAAATTCTTTACTTCTATAGCCTCATTCTTTCACTAAATTGAGGCATATTTCCTACAAATCAGTAAAGATACCTTTTTTCCCCTTTAACATAACAGTTGGGTTTTCTTACTGTAAGAAGCCCTTGTGGTGCAGTGGTTAAGCACTTTGCGGTTCAAACTCACCAGCCGCTCCTCAGGAGAGAGACGTTGCGGTCTACTTCCATAAAGATTACAGCCTTGGAAACCCTATGTGGCAGTTCTACTCTGTCCTATAGGGTCACTATGAGTCAGAATTGACTCGATGGCAACGGGTTTCTTACTCTAAACGTATTTATGTTAATTCCAGAAATATACAAGCTGAATAAAAATAAATGTCAAACCATTAGTCTTGTGATAGTTAAGTTTACTTAGTAATGTGGTAAGAGGTCAGTCTTATATTGTAAATAACTTGTAAATATTGTAAATATTTTAGCAGAATTGAGTTATCCTTTTGTACAAAATATTTGTTGTGTCAAATTGGGGAAAAAGTTAATGAAACATTCTTGTTTGGAAATCTTATATGATAAATAGACTTCATTAGATCTATTTATCATGCAGGAACCTACATATTACTCATTCAGAGAAAATGAAAATGAAACTTCTTGGAAATAAAATGAATTTTTCTGGAAAATTTACATATACATATGTATACATTTACTTTTCAAGAGCTAAAGTATGTGAGATAGCTTCTCTATTATCCTGATAAGGAAAAACTACGTTTGGAATCAGTAAATTATTCATTTTACTTTCAAGTTTCCCATCTGAAGATTTAAGTTGCTGTTATTCACATTTTCTTTTATAGTATAAATTATAGTATAAAAAGAATGGAACAAATAAGCTTGCCTTTTGAAATGATCCCTAATTTTTAAATATCAAATGTCTTTCCAATATTGCTGACCCAGCATTGACCATATTGACTGGAATATGTGTACATATTAATCAAATCAATTTTATTTTCAAAGTGCATACTTTTTCATATTGGTATGAGATATGACAGTTCTCATTATTGTTTTACAGGGAGGATCTTACTATGAAATGCTCTCAGCAGTTTCTGACTTTGTTCCAGCAGTGGGATATAGATGTGCAGAAAGCTAAGGAACAAGAAGAACACCTAACTGTCAGTATCAGGCTTGGCTTTATAAGTAATGTCTTGTAACTAAGTCTCAAATAGGAATGAATGCAACACCTAGGCATGTAGTAGATCCTGGGAACTGAGGTCAGTTCCATTACTCATTGTTGGCTGTGTGTTTTGGCCCTGGTGACTGTAAACCAGAGAAGTGTAGGCAAATAGAAAAAAAGAGTTGTTGTCAAGCTGACCCCGACTCATGTCGACCCTATGTGTGTCAGAGTAGAACTGTTCTCTGTAGAGTTTTCAAGGTCTGATTTTTTGGGATGCAGATCACCAGGCCTTTCTTCCGAGGTACCTCTGGGTGGACTCGAACTTCCAACCTTTTGCTTTGCAGCCAAGCAGTTAGCTTAGATCCAAGGGACTCCATAGGCAAATGCCATCCTATATTGGTTGGGATCCTTGCAGTTCCAAGTGACAGAAATTTGCTGAAGTACAAAAGAGGAATACATTACTTGACATAAATAATTCCAGGGGGGTTTAGCCGCAGGCACAGCTGGATGTGGGTGGGCAAAGGTTGCTCACGCAGTGTCATCTGGGCTCTGTCTCCATCCCTTGGTAGGCTGTCTCAATGTAGTAAGTGAGATAGCCTCTCGCCATCCTAGATTTACCAACAGTTCGGCAACCCCGGTGGACTGAGACAGTCTTAATAGCTCTGTCAGAAAAGTCCTCCGGAGAACTCTCACTGATCTACTTTGAATCATTTGCCCATCCCTGAACCAGTCATCGTGGTCGGAGCATGGTGTCCTCTTGACGGCCAGACCTGGGTCACCTGCCCATCCCTATGGGGGATGGAAGTCAGCTCCATCCATATACTGTATAGCTACATGAACTACCTTTCTCTTTCACTCTTGGGTTTTTCGTCAATTTATCACACACTTTTTACCCCAGAGTGAAGCAGTTGTTCCTAACCAAATATTTGCGGGGTTCGGGTAATCAGCTCAGGTTTAGAAATGTTGAATTTAAGGTGCATGTGAAGCATCCAGGGGGACATGTTGAGTGGGCCACTGGGTATGTGGGCCTGGATTCAGGAGAGGGATGTGGGCTGAAGATAGAAAATTGGGAATTATCAGCACAAACATAGCATTTCAGCCAGGAGACAGATAAGCTCACCAAGGGAGTGACTGTGAATGTAAAAGAGAAGTCTGAGGGCTGAGCCCTGGGGTACTTCAATGCTTAGGGTACTTCCTGCAGGGGAAGGGGAGCCAGTAAGGGACATGAGAATGAGTGACCGAATAGGTAGGAAAAAGCAAAACAAGATGGTGAGCAGAGCATTTTACGAAGAAGAAGAGAGAGGATCGACTCTGTCATATGCAGCTGCTGATAGGCCAGGTCAGGTGTATTTGGCAACATGCAGGGAGTTGGTGTCGTTCATGAATGTGGGTTCAGTGGAATGGTGGCTGGGAAAGCCCAGTGAGTACAAGAGAGAAGGGCACAGGAAGGAACGGGGTGGCAGCCGGGGAGAAAAGGCATACCCGTTGTTTTTGACTGGAGAAATAGCAAGATGTTTGTATGCTGATGGGAATTACCTAGGGGGAGAAAATGAAAATTTGGGCGGTGGGGAGGACAATTGCTAAGCAATTTTCTTGAGAGTGGATGGGGTCCAGTGGGCAGGAGAAGTTGGTTTTTGGCAAGCCAGGATTGTTCATCCATCAAAGTAGGAGAGACGGTAGAGTATGTGAGTGCTGATGGGTATAGGTGGGTGGTAGGTGTGGTGATGGGAGACTGGAAGTCCTCTTTGGATTGCTTCTGTTTAGTGAAATAAGTAAGGTCACCAGTTCAGTGTAAAGACAGTGGAGGAGATGTTGCCTTTGAGGACTGAGGAGAAG